CCCAGCATGGCTGGGAAGTTGCCAGTGTGGCTGAAGAGCTGCTGTCCCACCGCCGCCGCTCTGGTGCTGCTGGCCTCTTCCGAACTGTCTCCCTCTCCTCCCGCCACTCAGTCCGACTCCACAACTTTGCCTTGTTCAGGGCTCCTAGATATTCATATATAATCAAATCACTTGTTTTTCCAGGACTTTGTTGTAAGAGGGATATAGGAAGTGTCTTACTACACCACCGTCTTGGCTCCACCTCTCTGGATTACCTTTCTTTGGAATGGGTACAAATATTGATCTTTTCCAGTCGCTTGGCCAGGCAGCTGTCTTACAAATTTCTTGGCATAGAGAAGTGAGCGCTTCCAACACTGCATCCATTTGCTGAAATATCTCAGTTGGTATCCCATCAATTCCTGGAGCCCTGTTTTTCTCCAATGCCTTCAGTGCAGCTTGGACCTCTTCCTTCAGAATCATCAGTTCTTGATTATATGCTCCCTCCTGAAATGGTTGAAAGTTGACCAGTTCTTTTTGGTACAGTGACTCTGTGTATTTGTTCCATCTTCTTTTGATGCTTCCTAAGTCATTCAATATTTTTCCTGTAGAATCCTTCAGTATTGCAACTTGAGGCTTGAATTTTTTCTTCATTTCTTCCAGTTTGAGAAATGCCAAGTGTATGCTTCCATTTTGGTTTTCTATCTCCAGGTCTTTCAACATTTCTTTGTAGTACTTTACTTTGTCTTCCTGAGCTGCCCTTTGAAATCTTCTGTTCAGCTCTTTTACTTCATCCTTTCTTCCTTTTGCTTTAGCTGCTCTGCATTCAAGAGCAAGTTTCAGCATCTTCTGACATCCATTTTGGTCTTGTCTTTCTTTCCTGTCTTTTTAATGATCTCTTGCTTTCTTCATGTATAATGTCCTTGATGTCACTTCAAAACTCTTCTGGTCTTTGGTCATTTGTGTTCAATGTTTCAAATCTATTGTTGAGATGGTCTCTAAATTCAGGTGGGATATACTCAAGGTCATACTTTGGCTCTGTCTTAGTTATCTAGTGCTGCCATAACAGAAATACCACAAGTGGATGGTTTTAACGAAGAGAAGTTTATTTCTTCACGGTCAAAGTAGCCTAAAAGTCCAAATTCAGGGCTTCAGCTCCAGAGGAATTCTTTCTCTCTTTGTCGGCCTTCTCATCAGTGTTCCCCTGGACTAGAAGCTTCTCAGCTCAGGGACCCCGGTCCAAAGGACGCGCTCTGCTCCCAGCACTGCTTTCTTGATGGTATGAGGTCCTCCTGTCTTACTGCTCACTTCTGTCTTTTATATCTCAAGAGATTGCCTCAGGACACAATCCAGTCTTGTAGATCAGGTCCTGCCTTCTAACACAACTGCCGCCCATCCTCCCTCATTAACATCATAGAGGCAGGTTTACAACATACAGGAAAATCACACAGTACCAGGAATCATGGCCTAGCCAAATTGATATTGGGGGACATAATTCAAACCATGACAGGCTCTCATAGAATTGTTTTGATTTCCTTCAACTTGAACTTGAACTTGCACATGAACAATTGGTCTGTTCCACAGTCAGCCCCTGGCCTTGTTTTGGCTGATGATATTGAGCTTTTCCATCATCTCTTTCCACAGATGTAGTCAGTTTGATACCTTTGTATTCCATCTAGGGAGGTCCACATGTATAGTCGCCATTTATGCTGTTGAAAAAAGTGTTTGCAATAAAGAAGTCATCGGTCTTGCAATATTCTATCATGCGATCTCCAGTGTCATTTCTTATCACCAAGGCCATATTTTCCAACTACCAATCCTCCTTCTTTTTTTCCAGCTTTTGCATTCCAATTGCCGGTAATTATCAATGCATCTTAATTGCATATTTGATCAATTTCAGACAGCAAAAGTTAGTAAAAATCTTCGATTTCTTCATTTTTTCCTTTGTGGTTGGTGCATAAATTTGAATAATAGTCATATTAACTGGTCTTCCTTGTAAGTGTATTGATACTATTCTATCACTGACAGCACTGTACTTCAGGATAGATCTTGAGATGTTCTTTTTGACAATGAATGTGACGCCATTTATCTTCAATTTGTCATTCCTGTCATAGTAGACCATATGATTGTGTCTGATTCAAAATGGCCAATACCAGTCCATTTCAGCTCACTAATGCCTAGGATATTGATGTTTATGCATTCCATTTCATCTTTGATGACTTCCAATTTTCCTAGATTTGTACTACGTACATTTCACCTTCCGATTTTTAATGGATGTTTGCAGCTGCTGCTTCTCATTTTGAGTCATGCCACAGCAGCAAATGAAGGTCCCAAAAGCTTGACTCCATCCACGTCATTAAGGTCAACTTTACTTTGAGGAGGCTGCTCTTTCCCAGTCGTATTTTGAGTGCCTTCTAACCCGAGGGGCTCATCTTCTGACACTGTATCAGACAGTGTTCTGCGGGTATTCATAAGGTTTTCACTGGTCAATTTTTTCAGAAGTAGACTGCCAGGTCCTTCTTCCTAGTCTGTCTGAGTCTGGAAGCTCAGCTAAAACCTGTCCACCAAGGGTGACCCTGCTGGTATTTGAAATACCTGTTACAAAGCTTCCAGTATCACAGCAACACACAAGCCACCACAGCACAGTAAACTGACAGACACATAGACAGCCATAGAGTATCCTGTTATATTTGTTGTTGTTGTTGTCGTTAGTTGCCATCAAGTTGATTCCCCAATGGCTACCACATGTATGCAGAGTAGAACTGCTCCCTAGGGTTTTCAAGGCTGTGACCTTTGGGAAGCAGAGTGCTAGGCCTGTCTCACAAAGTGCCTGTACAGGCAGTCTTTTGTCATTACTTTTAGAGCATAATCTTTGATATTACCCAGATCTGATTGCAATTCTTGCTCAATCACTTGATAAGTTTGCTTATAATTTACTTGGCCTGTTTGAGTCATGATTTTTTCCACTTGTGAATTAAGTGATTCCTGAAGATTAAATGAGGTGATCCAATGGTTTTTAAAGCTTTATCAATAAATGAAGGAGCCTTACTGCAAAGAGATTTTTATATAAATCCTACGTGTTCAGAGCAAATTAAAGCAAATCTCTTCTAATCAAAGAGAAACAATGAGATGGAAAATCGGGGAGCCCTGTCCATTCTTCTCATCGCGTAGGTCTCTTCTTGGCTTACCCCTATGAAGCATAGGACCTGGGGAACATAATTTGAAAATACTTGAGGTAATGAGGTTATCAGTTGCTTAGCACAGGATCTGATATGCTGTGAGTTCTTCATAAATATCATCAAGATGGTATAGTTGTCATTTCACTATTAAGAAAGGTTCTTATTGTTATCATTATCCATGGGCTTCTAATCACACCATGCACTTTGGACAGCCCATTTTCCCTGTGGCCTGGCCCAAATGGTCAGCCTGATTACATATATCATTTCCCAAAAGGCCAATGGCTAGAGACATCCTACTGGTATTTTTTCCCAACACCTGAGCAAAGGCCTTGTTGTAAAAGATTTAGCAGGAGTGGACCAGTCCCTAAAACAATGATTTTCAAACGTTTAAACTACAATTCTCTTTATTCAAGTTAAGTCTTAAGCAGAACCGCAAATAAATAAAATAGAAAAAAGCAGAACTGATCAAATTCCAACCTCCAGCCCTGTTTTTGTCTTCAGGGTGGTTACAGAGACAACCTCCCTTGACCGTACTTTGAAGCACTACTGTCATTTTAGGCTCTCTATTGTTGCTCTTGCAATTCCCACTGAAGCTCCAGATTCATGATTAATTAAAATTGAGAGTTGGGTACTTTTCACTGAGTCCTATGAAATTCATCTCCTACTAGAGGTCATTTTCATCCAACTCTTAAAATAAATCATTGCCCAAACAAAGCAAAACAAAACCAGTTGCCACTGAGTCGACTCCAACTCATAGTCAAGTCAATTCCAACTCATAGTGACTTTACTGAACAGAGTAGAACTGCCCTTTCGGGTTTCCAAGTAGCAGCTGGTAGATTTGAACCCCCGACCTTTTGGTTAGTAGCCGAGCTCTTAACTACTGTGCCACCAGGGCTCCAAATCATTGCCCAGAAGCCCACAGTGTATGTATACCACAATTCTGAGTTACATAGTTTCAAGACTGTCCCTGAGCTAGGGCAAGAGTATTAGTACTTCCTTTCCGGAGCTGAGAAATGGACTCATAGACACAGATCCATTGCCTAATAATTGTTGTTCACTATCTCAGAAGAGAAGGAACCCTGGTGGTGCAGTGGTTAAAGCACTCAGCTGCTAACCAAAAGGTGGGCGGTTCGAACCCACCAGCCACTCTGCAAGAGAAAGATGTGGCCACCTGCTTCCCTAAAGATTTACAGCCTTGGAAACTCTTTGGGGCAGTTCTACCCTGTCCTGTAGGGCCGCTATGAGTCAGAATCAACTCCATGGCAGTGATTGTGTGGGATCTTAGCAGAATATTATCACAAAAGCTCAAACCTTTCATATTTATACTCTCAGAGAGGTGCAATTACTTTCTTAAAGTTACACACCTAGTGCATTGCAGGGTGGGGACTAGAGCATAAGTCTCTTGAAGACCTATCTAGGACTAAATTACTAAATGTGGAACATGATTTTATTCATGTTCCAATAGCAGAGCCCAGAAAGTTTGGTTTATGAGCAATAAAGTTCTCAGATCAAATCACAATGGGTGGGGTAGGAATTTATGTGTTAAATAGATGGGAGTTGGGGGAGCATTAATAGAAATTGATGTTTGTGTAATCAACAACGAAGAACCCTGAAGTATACGGCAGAATGAATTTGTATATAAATATATTGATTTTTATAGGCTCTAAGAGAGTTCTGGAAAATAGGGGCCTATTGTCCTGAGCTAACTTTGGAAGTTAAGACCTTGCAAATATGCTAAGTGTATTCCCAGGGAAGTTGGTGTTTTTTGTTTCCTAAAATACTATAAATTGTCAATCACATGCTTAAAAAAATGTTCAAAAGCTCTTGGTTGGCTCTGTGATTTAGGCTGATCCAGAACTGGTGGTCAAGACATAAAATCAAGCGAGGAATACATGATGCATCTTTGCCTCAGTGGGAAAATGATTGGAATCTACAGCCCATGAATATTCACGGACTGATGGATGAGTACTTAGAAATGGGTAAGAGAAAATGAAAAGCTTGAATGGAGTTATTTAGCCTCCATGGAACTCTTTTTCTACTTCATGGGATTTTTTTAAATAAAAAATATGTATCTTCTCTTGTCCAAACCCAAGCATTTGGAAACACATCTGCACCCTTATCTCAACAGAGCTGGAGAAGGTATTAAAGCAGTGCCCTTGGGAAGCTCAGTGCTTTGTCTTCTGAGAGCTGTAACGTCTGTCCCAAATAAAAGTTTCTCCCACAGTGGGAAATCTAACTTTTGAGAAAATGTTCTGAAGAATAGAGCAGCATCAATTCCTATGTTAAGAAACTTACCATCCCACCCAAATAAAGCAGTGTTTCCTTTTTGAAATAAATCTTTGCACAGTGCCAGTCTGAGTCTTGGGTTATTCAAGTAGCATACTTATTTATATTAAAAAAATTAAAGATTTGCATTCTGATTCTTAGGACCACTGTGTGCTGCCTTGACATTTGCTTTTCTCTAGCCTTAGTTTTCTCATCTCTAAAAAAGAGAGGACAGGATTAGCTGTCTCAGATCCTTTCCAATGTCAAACGTTTTTCTTTAAGGCCTCCTTGCCCCCGCCCCCCCCCCCTTTCCTTTATGCTGCATGGCTGCATGGTATAGACATGAAAAACACATAAACATTCAACCAATCAGATCTGAGTTTGAATGCAGGTTCTAAATTTTCTCACTGTCTATTCTTCTCGAGTTTACTTACACGTGTGAGCTATAATTTCTTCAAGTATAAAATGAGATAGGCATATTTACCTTGTAGAGATGTTGAAAGGATTAAGAGCAATTTATGTAAAGTACCTAATCTGGCCCAAAGAAGCCACTCATTAAATGATACTGTTCATATTATTAATTTTCTAATGCTCTCCTTTTAGTTTTGCAGTTTGGTTTTACCACCATTTTTGTTGCGGCTTTTCCTCTGGCCCCTCTGTTGGCGTTGTTAAACAATATCATTGAAATCAGGCTGGATGCGTACAAATTTGTCACCCAGTGGCGGAGGCCTCTGCCAGCCCGAGCAACTGATATTGGTAAGATTCAGAAATTAAATGGTCTTTGCATTGCTAAGGCCAGCAGGTGACTTGGTCTCACTTGGGTGCCACTTGGATTTCTATTGCCAGAACTTTCAACCTTAACAAAACTGAGCAGCTTTAGGAAAAGAATAAATGAATGCCAGTTTAGTTGAGATAATCCCCAGTGGGAAGCTGCTCTGTCTCTTGTGAATCTCAAATTTTAGCTGTGAAAACACTTGTAAACAAAAAGTTTCCATCAGTTTAAATTGCATAATCCATGTGCTCTTTTCCACATAGAATTTGAATACGCTCATGTACTATATTATGATAGCCATTTCTAGAATTCATTGAAGAAATATTTCTGCTAAAAAATTCATTTAAAGGGTCACAGAAACTGATACTTCTTGGACATAACTAATCCCCTCATGGGAACCCTGGTGGCGAAGTGGTCAAGAGCTCAGGCTGCTAACCGAAAGGTCAGCAGTTCGAATCCACCAGCCACTCCTTGGAAACCCTGTGGGGCAGTTCTGCGCTTTCCTACAGGGTCGCTATAAGTTGGAATCAACTCAACAGCACACAATAATAATCACCTTATGGGATCAGTTTTCTTGAAGACTTAGGGTCATAGTCTTGTGGAACAACTCGGTCAATTGGCATGATGTAGTTCATAAAGTTTATGTTCTACATCCTAGTCCTGTAAGTAGCATCTGGGCTCTTAATAGCTTTCAAGTGACCATCTAAGATACAGCTATTGGTCTGTACTCATCTGGAGCAAAAGAAAAAGAAGGAAGCCCAAGACTCAGAGAAGGAACCAGTCTACAGGACTAATTGTCTACTGGAACCAGGGACGACTCTGCCTTGAGACCAAAGGAACTAGATGATGCCCAGATACCAATACTGTATGTTCTGATCAGGAACACAATAGATGGATCCTAACAGAAAGGGAGAAGAATGTGGAGCAGAATTTCAAATTTAAAAAAAATCCAGACTTAGTGGACCCAGTGAGACACCACCTTACCAAAAAAGGACAACAATTACTCAAAAGCAAAGATGATGAGATAAGGGGACAGGGAAACTAGGGTACTGGAAAGGGAACAAACTGAACACAATTAAAAGAATACTGATGCTTAGTGGTAAATGTAACTAATGTCACCAAACAATTTGTATGGAAATTGTCAAAAAAGAACCTAATTTGCTGTGTAAACTTTCACCAAAAGTTCAATAAAATATTACTCAAAAAATAAAGAGCATGCACATTTAAAATGTTGATACGTTATTTGGCAACATGTCCTCCAGAAATACTGTGCTAATTACCACTTCCACCATAAGTACATAAATGTCCATATCCACATTTTTCAATAACTCCAAGTGTAATGAACTTTTTTTTTTTTTAAATCCTTGACAATCAGAAAACTCATTTCCGTCGAGTCAATTACGACTCATAGCAACCATGCAGGACAGAGTAGAACTGCCCCATGGGATTTCCAAGGAGCGGCTGGTGGATTTGAACTGCTGGCCTTTTGGTTGGCAGCTGAGCTCTTAAGCACTGAGCTACCAGTAAAGGAAAAAAATAATATACTGTTATATTTACTTACATTTTTAAAACTAGGAGATTAAATATATTTTCATATATTTATTGGCTGTTTGTATTTTTATCTTACTAATTGTGTTTATGCCTTTTGGCCATTGTATCTAATTTGGTAATCTTTGTCTCCATATTAGGAACATTAACCTTTGGAGATACATATATATATATATATCTATATATATATATATATATATATAGTAAATATTTTTCAAATGCTGGCTTTTACTTTATTTAATTTTTCATAAATAATGTTTTAAAATTGATAACTAATCAAATTCCGTTATAGTTTTTCTCATTTGTGGTATTCTTAGAAAGACCTTGTAGAACTCGTTATTTTTCACTAATTGTTTTTATTGTTATTTTGATTTTATTTAGTATTATTTTGTTAGTTTCTCAGCATTTTATAATTTTATTTAAATTTTTGATCCATCTGGAATTTGTTTTTGATTATATTTCTTCTACTTGTTTGAATTGTCTCTATTATACTAAATTCTGCATAAACTTATTTCCAGAATCACTAGATGTTCATTGATCTGACTACTTATTCTTGGCATGTTGTTTTAATAAACTGTAGTTTTGTAATAAGAAGTTCAAGTATTTGGGAAAGCAAATTCACACTCCTTTTCTTCGTGAAAAATTTCAGGCTAATACTGCAAGGTTATCTCTTCAGTTAATTTCATCTTTTTACATATTCCATAATTTCCAAAGGCTATTTAAAATATACTGATCTATAGAGAAGGAACCCTGGTGGTGCAGTAGTTAAACACTCGGCTGTTAACCGAAAGGTCAGTGGTTTGAATCCACCAGCTGCTCCACGAGAGAAAGATGTGGCAGTCTGCTTCCGTAAAGATTTACAGTCTTGAAAACCCTATGGGGCAGTTCTACGCTGTCCTATAGGGTTGTTATGAGTCGGAATCAACTTAGCAGCGATGAGTTTGGGTTTTGGGTTAATCCATAGAGATTTAATGCCATGTATTTTAAGTTTATGTTTCTTGAATCAACTAAAAATTATTTAATTTTGCCATTTAATTTTGGTATACTTATTAATTTCATTATTAATATAATGTAAGCACATTAAAGAAAATTTGGAAGATTAGTCAAAGAAGAAAATGAAACTCCCATTCCAGCTTCATCTAGCATTTGTTGCGCCTTCCAGTGTATAGATTTGTTTTTTGTTTTGTTTTGCTATATTGTACCTTGCATCGGAAGGACAAAGCAAAGATGCACAAAGAAACAATTAGCAGTCCTTTCCCCTTTCACCTTTCTCTTCTACCTCAGGAAATCAATGCTAACAGTTGGACATGTGTTCCTTGTCAGTGTTTTTCTTGCTCATACAAGCTTATATGATTCTGCATTTTTTTCTTCATAAACTTCGTTCAGCTCAAAACATATCGGTCTAACTGATTTTAATACAGAGGTAATATTCATAACATGGATGTACTATAAATTTTATAATCATTTGCTTATTTTATTTCCTCACTACAAACAAGAATAAACATATATAAATATACATGTAGATATAGATATGAAGATAGAGACATAGATATTAACTATAGATAGTATGTCGCGTATCTGTGTGTGTATACACAGTGTATCTGTAGTATTGATCCCAAAAAGTAGACTTACCAAATTAAAACATATACATATTTTAATTTTAAAAGTTATCAGATTAATTACAAAAGAAAAAAGTTAGAACAATTCATGCTTCCAACAACAATATAAAAGAATTTCTGTTTCCACGGTCCCTAGATAGTACTAGATGTTATAAGACTTTCAAATCTTTGAAATCCGATGAAAACAGAAAAAAACATATCTTCAGTTTTAAAGGGCATTTCAGTATTAGTGATTGAAAATATATGCATTTGCTATTTGCATTTCCATAGCAAATTGCTCATTTATGTATACTGCCAATTTTTCTTATTAATTTTAGAATCTTCTTGTATATTAGGCATACTAACCCTTTGTTTTTGTGAAGCAAGTATTTTCTCACAGACTCTTGACTGAATGCAGTGAATTTGTATAAATAAATTTAATTTTTATGTACATAAATATTGTTTCTTTGATGAACTCTGATTTCTTATGATCTCGAGGACAAAGAAAACGTTAATATCCTTTTTTCTTTTTTTATTATAACTCAATATAGCCACATTATAGAGATTTTGAAAAAAGAAAGGTTTACACTATCATTTTAGCACTTTGATTATTTCTTTCCAGGACTTTTTTTCTTTCCTATTTTTAAATATTTTTAAAACTAAGTTTAATCCAGTACAGTTTTGACTACACTCAGTAGCATATTGATTCTGTTTACGACTTTGAAAACTTCAGTTTGTGTCTATCTGATGCCAGATTGACCGCTTATGAAGTAGAAAATGCCAATTAATGATCTCCAAAGTTTGACACCAAACGGGTTTTAGATTTTGTGTCGTTACTTAAAAAAGATACTTGAAAAACATATAGGTAAAACCAAGAGTGAATACAGATATTTTAAAATTTATACAACCATGTAGACCTTGAAGATTTTTGTTTGTTGATTCTATTGCCTCAGCACACCTGTGCATTTGATTAGGCTTTCAAATATCTTGGGCACCTATACCATGCATGTCTCATTGTTACAGACATGAATAACTAAATAACCAACTCCTAAAGATATTTCGATTTTCAGATCTCTCTACATAGGGTCTACTTTCTCTCTATTGAGAAGCGTGTTAAAAACTGTAATATCTGGAGTGAGATACTATATAAAGAAAGTAAACAATCGGCAGAGTGTGGTTTCAATAGACAAGTAAAACGTTCTTTCCAAAACAAGGTTTAGAGTGTTTTAATTGTTTCATTGTCATTCTCTTATCTTGTATCTTTTTCCTTCTAGGTATCTGGTATGGAATTCTTGAAGGAATCGGTATACTGGCTGTGATCACCAATGCGTTTGTAATTGCTATTACATCTGACTACATCCCTCGTTTAGTCTATGAGTACAAATATGGCCCCTGTGCAGATCAATTAGAGAACGGTGACAAGTAAGGTTGAAATTTCTACATTTTCCTGATATATTCTATGCTTGTAATCAAAAGTGGGAACTTACTGGGAGGTTTTGTTCTGTGACCATTAAGAGTACTGGTTCTGGTCATTCCATTTATGTGTTTCATAAATGAAATCAGGCGAGGTAAAAAGGGTGGCTGTTTTTTACAACAAATACTTTCAAAGTCTCTCTGTGTTTTTACTTGTAAATGCATCGCTGGTATCAAAATATTAAAAACATTATAATGTACAGACAGTCCCCTTTACGAAGGTACTACTGAAGGACCACTGGCACTTGCCCTTTAATGTTATGTAAATGTGCCCTAACTTTGAAAAGACTGAACCAGTCCCTACTGGCAACAAATTCTTATCACAATCACCTTCACTTACTGAACATGCAGCTTTTAAATCATTGAAAAGGCTTCCAGCCTATTCTTGCACTAAAGTAAGGCTAAAGAAGAACTATATCACCTGTTCTGACTTACCTACAAATACTACTTAATGACACAGTTTGGAACAGATCTTGTTCATAACCCAGGGACTGCCTGTATTTAGAAGTCAAATTCTAGAATTGGGGAAAAAAAAAAAAAAAAACAACATTGCCATCAAGTCGATTCCGACTCATAGCGACCCTATAGGACAGAGTAGAACTGCCCTATCGGGTTTCTAAGGAGTGGCTGGCGGATTTGAACTGCCAACCTTTTGGTTAGCAGCCAAGCTCTTAACCACTGTGCCACCAGAGCTCCCTAGAATTGGAAGTGACCTTAAAAATCATCCAATGCAATCTTCTGACTGAATAGATGAAGAAATTGAGACCTACACTACACAATCAAATTGCTGAAGGTAACAAAGCTAGTGTGTAGGGAGAGACAGAACATGAAGTAACTGACATCTATAAGACTAGAGGCTTTTCAAAAGAGATTTATAGCTTGGGACTTTAAGGTTGCAGAGGATGCTGCGCTAGACCTGCCTGCCATTTGTTTTCTGTTAAAATTTAAATCCACACTTTAGAACAGGGTTTCTCAACCTCTGCACTATTGATATTGTAGACTGGATCATTTCTTTTTCGGATAGTGGGCGGCTGTCTTGTGCATGGCAGTATGTTTAGCAGCATCCCTGGCCTCTACCCCCTAGACACTAGCAGGAGCTACCCTACTTCCCAAGCTGTGACGACCAAAAATGTCACCAGATAACTGCCAGTTATTCCATGGGGGCCGAAATTGCCCTGGTTTGGAGCCACTGCTTTAGGAGAATTTTTCTTCAAATCTTTCCTTCTTGAAATCAGGTATTAGGAAGGAATACAAGAAAGTACTGGCTTTGGGAAACAGAGTAATTGGAGGTACTTAAGAAAGAGTTTTATCTGGAGATCAGCCTTAGGTATGGGGACAGTGGTGGGCCCTCCCAGGAGAGAAGCTGCTTCTCCTCCTTCCTTCAGGAAAAGCTTTGCCCACACAACTTACCTGGATGCAGGACATCTTCCCCAACAGGCTGAGTCCTGGCTTAGGATGAAATCAGGCCTTAACTCTGCTTTATCCGAACGCTGAAATGCCTTTCTGAACACAAATTATCTCAATTTTTCAAAAAGAGATAATGAAGGCATAGGTATTATTTTATCTATTTTATTTTATTAAAATTTTGGAGCCTAGCCAAGGCCTTTTAACCAGGAATCAGACACCATAGGTTCAAGTTTTATCTGTGTCTTTCACTAAAGACCGCATCATGAGTCTGGACCTAGTTGGTTCATAACAAAAAATGTTCACAGATCTTATGATTAAGAAATGGCATAGGAGATAACATTTTATGATCTGGGAAACACTATTTAAATATAAAGTTGCCTTAGTATTAATAGTGAAAAAAAACCCAAAAAGTCTTTTTTTCTCCTAATTCTAAATGACTTAGAAGTAGGTTTTAAGAGTTTAAAATATATAGGCTGTTTGGCAGACCTCTTCCCTGGAGGTATTATTTGCTGGTGTCTTTACTGCCTCCTAGTGGCAGGAGAAAATAATGTTTGTGAGTTATCAGTTCTGTTTACATTTCAGGACCTACCTTCATCCTTCATATTGATGGCTAGGGATGTAGAATAATTTCAAGTAGAGATGTGTGGGACTTATGTGAGGTTGAAACCACACATTAGAAGGGGTCCTGTCGCTTAATTCTTTCCAGGTATGCTTAGCAGCTAAATTAGAATAGATTCATTGACACTGGAAATTCTTTCCAGAGCAAAGCGGCAGATGGACAAAGTGGCAATGAAGAGCAGGGTACTGGCAAAAGGTGCTGAAATGATAAATTGTGGGATCTAGTCATGACAGGAAAGGGAGTGAAGGCAGAGTGGCACTGTAGTTAAGAATCCAAGGTTTAGAATGAGATAGATGCATGTTCGAATCCAGGTTCTAACAGTTGTTTGCATAGGGCACTGGTCTTCAACATGTGGTCTGCAGATCCCTGGAGGTGCTGAGACCCCTTCAGTGCTCCATCACGTCAAAACTATTTTCATAATAATACTAGACATTATTTGCCTTTTCCAACATACTGTCATTTGCACTGATGGTACAAGAATAATGGCGAGTAAAATTTCTGGTGCCTTTGTATGACTCAAGGCAATTGCACCAAACAGAACTAGCAATGATCGTATTCCTCATCGCTGTATCATCACCATAAAAATGTAAAATGCTGGTTTGACTTTATAATGCCCTTGATGAAGCAGTTGCAATTAATTTCATCTGATATTTACCCTTGAGTCAGTATATAAATGAGAAGTACGCATAAAGTGCTTCTGCTACATAACAAAGTATGATGGTTGCCTTAAGGAGAAGAGCTTGTGTTACTGATTTGCAAACTGAACAAGCTGTTTGTTTGTTTTTTAACATGAAAGAAAGCTTGGCAGACAAACTATGATTATTTAGAATTGGCATGTTGTACACACTCTTTTTTAAAATGCACAAAATCAGCCTGTCATTTTAAGTAAAATAACTGACAATATTTGTTGCTGCTGATGAAGTTCAAGCTTTGAAGTGAAAATTAGAATTTTGAAGAACTTTTATCTACCACTGTGAGCTTGAAAGTTTGTCAGTACTTAAAGATTTTTTTTTTCTGATATAATCGATGATATCAATGAATGTTTTTAAAAATATATAGTAAAAATGTGTCAATATTTGGAAGATCTGCATAACTTACTGAAGTAATATTTTCCAAATGACCCATATTTGATGTTACAAAACCATGCACTAAGCTTCTGTTAAGGGTAATGTAATTAATGTCATTAAAGTCACTGAATTGTACATGTAAAAAAAATGGTGAAATGGCCAAGTGTTGCAAGTATATTTATGAAATGCACATATGTAGGGTTTTATCACATAGGAAGTAATTAACACAGTGCCTAGTGCATGGTCAAGCCTATTGCTGTGGAGTCCATCTCGACTCATAGCAACCCTATAGGACAGAGTAGAACTGCCCCATAGGATTTCCAAGGCTGTAATCTTTATGAAAGCAGACCGCCACATCTCCCGTGGAGAGTGCTGGTAAGTTCAAACCACTAACCTTTCAGTTAGCAGCCAAGTGCTTAACCACTGTGCCACCAGGGTTACTGCATAGTAACCACTTAATAAATGTAAAACAAATGAAAGGGCAAGATGGGAGTTATTTTGAGAAAATGGCAAGACAGGAAGCTGTCTCATTAAAGTACAATTACAGATCTAGTAGAGTAAGGGAATGGAATAAGACGACTGAGTTGCTAGGAATTTGTAGCTAGACTGGAAATAATAATGGCGCTTATAAAAAGCCTGTCATTTGTAATGAAAGAACTGGACTAGGAATTTATGACTCCCTGAATCACATGATACTTTTCTTTTCTTCCAGTTGCTTAAAGGGATATGTCAACAATAGCCTATCCTTCTTTGACCTGAGTGAGCTTGGTATTGGAAAATCTGGTTACTGCAGGTACTAACTTACAAATTGTAGCTATCTTTCCTGCTTTTTTCGCCATTTCATCTTCTCCCGTTTGTGTTAATGGGTCCATTTAAACTGTCTTTTTGGTAGTTTTAGAAACTTAAGAACATTTTTAGTCTCCATGCTCTCTCCTCTGTTTTTCACACTCTTTGGTTTTATGGATTTCAGGTACCGAGACTATAGAGGTCCCCCTTGGAGTTCCAAACCCTATGAGTTCACCTTACAATATTGGCATATCCTCGCCGCCCGATTGGCCTTCATTATCGTGTTTGAGGTTAGTCACAGACTAAGCTCTTATACTACCTGTAACAAGGCAGAAATTATCATTTTATCAGGAGATACTTTTTTAGGCTAATAGAGTCATTAAGTAATAGAATTTCAGATCTGGATGAAATCTTAAACCAAAAAACCAAAACCCCTTGCCGTTGAGTCGATTCCAACTCATAGCGACCCTACAGGACAGAGTAGAACTAGAACTGCCCCATAGCGTTTTCAAGGAGCACCTGATGGATTCAAACTGCCGACCTTTTGATTAGCAGCTATAGCACTTAACCGCTACACCACCAGGGTTTCCAGATAGGTAAACATTTCATTTTACGCAGGAGGAACATTTCACTACAAAATTTGAAGTTTTTGGAGGTTTTTTATATATAGTCTGAGGGAAAAGCTCGTTTATCTTCTTCTCCATGTAATAAGATAATTTTCGCAACACTGTGTGATAAATGATTTATTATTTCTTCACAGGTTTGTAATTCCACTTCAATAATATTCCAAGTTTCTATGTATCGTGGGTGTATCCCTGGCCTCTGTATGCTGATATATTTATCCATTTGTCTATTCCTAGGTCAGTATCACACTGTTTAAGTGTGGTGGCTTTGCAATATAATTTAATATCAGTCAGTGAGCCCCCACCTCCACTGTATTTGCTTTTATTTTTCAAAATTGCTTTAGCTATTTGGAGATAAATCATTCATGTAAATTTTAGAATTCATATTTTTCTAGTACTCCCAAATTAAAACAAACTAACAAACCCATTGCCATCAAGTTCACTCTGACTCATAGCAACCCTATAGGACAGAGTAGAATTGCCCCATAGTGTTTCCAAGGAGCAGCTGGTGAATTCGAACTGCCGACCTTTTGGTTAGCAGCTGATTCAACCACTGCACCACCAGGGCTCCATTATCATGCAAGAATTTTGGTTAGAATGATATTTGTAGAAATTCTTGAGGAAAATTTTGCATGGTTACAAAATTTGTGCTGTTTCACTGATGAACATGGAATTTATTCAGCTAACTTTTATGACCTTGAAGAATTTTAAAAATATTCTCTGTAAGTAGCTTGTTCATTCCTTTTAAAGTTCATTCCTATAAACTTTGTAGATATTTTCTGCTGCTATTGTAAATGGCATTTTTCCTCCTTTATCTGATTTACTCAAGTTTTGTTGGTGTGCTAGAATGCTGCTGATCTTTCTAAGATGATTATAGTTCCTTGTTGAAAACTCTTACTGGTTCCAATACTTGTCTGTTAAATCAGTTGGATTTAATAATACCATTTGCAAATAATGACAGTTTTTCCTCTTGACTTCAAAGCTTATATCTTTTCTTTTGCTTGCCTTACTGTGTTGCTAAAAATTTCCACACTGCGTTGAACAGCAGTGGTGTGAGCAATCGTGTCTTATTTCCAGCTTCAGTGGAAATGCTTTGGAATATTTTTTTCTTTAAGTATGATGTCTGTTACAGTTTTTTTTCTTTAAGATCAACTACCAGTTTCAGAAAGTTTTCTTATATTATTGGCTACTTAAGAGTTTCTTGATAAATAGGGAGCCCTGGTGGTCAAGTGGTTAAGAGCTCCAGCTTCTAACCAAAAAGCTGGCAGTTCAAATCTACCAGCAACTCCTGGGAAACGCTATGGGATAGTCCTACCCTGTCCTATAGGGTCGCTATGGGTTGGAATCAACTCGACAACATACAACAGCAATAACAACAAAATTTAGTGACTGCTTTCTTTTTTCATCTCTTGAAATAATCACGTGATATTCCACTAATGTGGCACATTTAATTGATAGATTTTTTCTCTTTAATGTTGAAGCATCCTTGCATATTAACCTGTCTATATGAATCAGTTCACTGGGTCACTTATGACCTGTTTATAGGACTTGGAGCATATTCTTTACTAATTTAAATTATAAAAAAAGTTTCTTTTTTATTTTTGTTTCTCAAGACATATTGCTGGTTGTTTCTGTAAATCATTGCGAATCAGGTATTTGGTCAGGAAAGAAACTCCTAACTATCCACTTTCCTATATAAAGGAAAATATGACCTGATTTACTATGCTTTCCTAGATATGACATAATTTGCAATGATGTTTTCAAGGACATAGCAAGCACAATTAAAAATTCCTTGAATTCTTCCTTTCCACGTATAGTTATTGTTTACTTGAAGTCCTTTAGGTAAATGTATTCTTTTCCAAAGAGCATTCTAATCCTATTAGTATCAGATTTTTTCCTTTCTGAGAATTTGGAAGCTCTACCCTTCTTCTTCATGGGAAAAGGAAAAGGAAAAGGATGCTTTTATGATAAAAGGCGTTAATTAAATAGAACTTAGAGTATGCCAAGCACCCTTTTAAGCCCTTCACATATGTTTTCTCATTTAATGCTCATGCCAACTTTTTTTTTTTAATTGTGATTTAGGTGAAAGTTTACAGCTCAAGTTAATTTCTCATTGAAAAATTTATACACATATTGTTTTGTGACATTAGTTGCCATCCCCACAGTGTGACAGCACACTCCCCCTTTGCACCCCGTGTTCCCTGTTTACATTCGACCAGTTCCTGTCCCTTCCTGTCTTTTCATCCTGCTTTTGGACAGGAGCTGCCCATTTGGTCTTGTAGCTCATGCCAACTTTTAAAAGATAACACCATTCTCACCTTTTCAGAGATAAGGAAACTGAGGCACAGAGAAGGGAGGTGATTGGCTAAGGTTACACAGCTAATGAATGTTAGAGTAGGATTTGTTCACACCAGAACTTTAGTTCTTTAGGCATATTATCTTTTGAGTTTTGCCCTTGTGGTTTTATTTTTATATATAATACTTTTTGTCAGTTTATTTTTTTAAATCCCCATAATATATTTTTATTATAGCAAAACTTAGATAATGGAGATAAAATATTTTAAAGCAGTTATGATATATGAATTTACCAATAGAGTAAAATTTCCTGTGCTGGAGATTGAGTCTAATCCCAGCAGAGCAAGCAGACCATATGCTTCGTGGCTTATACTGTATTTTTATGATCTATTGGACATTATTTCTCCCTGGACGTGGTCTTTGTCATCTGTATATAACAATGCATGTCATATCAGTATTGTGTAATATGTAAGGATTTTATAGACTTGAATTTAAGATTAATTCAGTGTTTATTTTGACATGTGGCAGCCAGGAGAGGAAAGAATCCTGTTTCCTCCTACTACTTAAGTGTTAGAGGGCCACAGTAGTATTCCCAATAAAATTTTTGAAAATATCAGTGTTCTAAATGGTACATACTGTGTTCTGATGCTTGACTCTAAGGAAGATGCAACATTGCTCATGATGGTTCTGTTTTATAATTAGCACTGCACAATATTTGAAAAGTGTACTTTCTGCTCTTATATTCGTAGCACCTGGTTTTTGGGATCAAGTCTTTCATCGCGTTTCTGATTCCAGACGTACCACAGGATCTATATGACCGAATTAGACGGGAGAAGTACTTAGTCCAAGAAATGATGTATGAGGCTGAACTAGAACATCTGCAACAACAGCGGAAGAAATGTGGTCAGCCTGTCCACCATGAATGGCCTTAGTTGAAACCTGTTACCCAGTAGAGGCGGTACCACTAGTGGGAAGGAGTGATCAACTTCAAATTCTTGGTGGGATCTAGAAGGAAAGTGTACATGGCAAACTGTGTGTATAATATGCTACTTGGAAATGCGTCACATCCTTCTCTGAGATTTGGAATATCTGGCTTCTAAGGAAAAAAAGATGACTTATAACCTTAAAAAATGGTTAGATTCTGCTGCAGGAGGCCAGGATATAATTTGCAGAACCAGCCCCAAGGAGTCATGTGACTGGAGACCTCTACCTCCCATCAGCTGCAGCGTATAGGGAGGGTGGTGATGAGGTTTCTAGACACAGATAACCATGTCAGTGTTCAAAAGCCAGGCACGACTTAAAACCTCATGTGGTCTTCACTCATACTAATCTGACTTCCAAACCTTTGGTCCAGTTGATATGCTTAAATGAAATGACTTAAATCAATTTATGCCTTTGTTGCCAGAACTCAGTGTCCCTTACAGCCTACAGGCTTGTAGGAACTGCCCTTGCATCTTGCTGAGATTATGGATTTGTGCCATAAAGGAACTTAATGCTGCTTTACATCAACTATGCAGTTGAAGAGTTGCACATCACCTTTAGTACTGAAACCAAAAATCTAAGATTCCGAAAGAATACCATTCTTAAAATAATATTTTATTGCATTGGTTACATCCAAATCTGTTTTCTGTCTGGCAGAGCCAGTTGAACTGCACATATTTTTTATTAAATGCCAACAGAGTCACATACTTAACAAAATATGAGTGGTCATTCTTATATCATTTAGATCACAACTAACTCATACTTTACTGTGGCATGCTGTGTTATAGTGTGTTTAATTTTTCCCCCTCTGACTTATTACAACAGCCCTCCCAGAGTGTTAACTTCAAGTGCTATAAATATGTTGGTTTCCTTGTACTTTTAAACTTTGGCACTACGTATTGCAAACTACTGTTTATGCAGCTCTGAGACCAGGTATATGGTATGCCATTGTGACTTGCAAAGCCAAATACTTTGCAACACTTAACGCTTTTCCAACAATGTGCACTCTTGCTCATGAGCTAACGAAAACAATGCATGAATATAAATCTGTATTATTTGTAGAAAGACTTTTTTTTAACTTTTATTTTCTTTTACGTCACTGAAGGGAGTTTCTGTTATTTTTTCAGTACATTGGTTTGGATCATTGATTTGACAGATTGATTTTCTCTAGAAACAAAGTTAAATTAATTGTTAAAGACATGATTTTTATTTTTATTTTTTTGTAGATGCACAGAATTAGTAAAATTGAGTCTGATTTGAGTTGCTGTATCCATGTTTCCTCTTATCTGTGAGAATGTCTGTTCACAAACTGATGAATAGGGAATGACAGGGTATTCAACTAAAAGCAAGTACTGTTGAGGCATAAACTGTGGAGATGGAATGGGAAGAAAGACAAGAGTTGAAGTAGGCAAAGGTATGGTAGAAATCGATACACTTTTCCTTGCAAAACAATCAAGGCTACTATCAGTTTTCTTTCCCTGGGTGGGTGAGAGTGGGGATAAGGGACACACACACACACACACACACACACACACACATGCACACACACAATAACAACAACTGATTATTTTTGCCCAATTAAGTAAAGCATAGTTACTTCCAAAATGTAAAAAATCACATTAAACACAATGGAAATAAAGCTAGTATTTCTATTAACAGAAAACTAAAAAAAAAATTAATCTTACTAAACCAGTTACTATCAAGTCGATTCAACACTGAAAATGTCCTGTTGTTTTTTCCTTCTTTCTCTCCCGGGAAAAGCTGATAGATTATAGTTTTTGATTGATTTGTTTGTCTTGTTAAAAATGTTTAATTTCCTCCTTGCCCTCTGATTCTGAGCACAGGGAAGGCCCTCAGACTCTAAACTTTGCTTATGTGCCCTTGCCGCATGTAACTCTTCCACTTAGATGACAGAGAGGTTCTCTTTCTGCCACCTGCTTATTTATAACAACTAATTCCACTAACTCCACCAAGGAGTTTTTCCCTGGCCACATCAGGCAAATATTGATTACCTACTTGAAGTAAAAATAAGAAAAGAGAAAGTTATTTTTAATTAAAAAAAAATGATAATGCCTTGATTTAGAAAATGCCTTCTCTGTTATTTTTAAAACAGTTGAGAAGAATAGAGAAACAATGAAAAAAGTATCCAAAATTTTCCTTTTGTGGCAACACTGCAGTAGACTCCAGTTATGCCTTTATCACAGTTGGCAGTAAAATACTGACAGCTCCTCGGCATATGTTAGCTTTAGATCACTCTGCTTTAGTTGAAGGAAGATGTTTTCTATCATGGTGTTCACACGAATACACATTATTTTTCACAGATTTATAGCACACACTATTCTCAGGAATTCTGTATTACATGAGTGCTGCTTATATATTTTCATATTCTAAACTGTCTTTTCAAGCAAATAACTAATATATATGTGCATGCAGTCTGTCGTGACAAGAAAACTGCAGAACTTTCGCGTACAGCGTGTGGAAAATTGCTGTCAATCGTAGCTGAAATAGCTTGCAATTGTCTGAGTCTCTGCACGCACCTTAAGATAAACTACTCCTCCTGAAAGACTGCATGCAATACAACTCTGAATGCTGCATATTCTTCCAAATGTCTTAGTGACTCTTAGCACAATCTATTGTACAATGGAATGGAAAGGAACCTTTTTCACTCAGTAAATTATCATTTGATATAGTACTTTTCCTACAATTTGCATGTTAAATTTAATCCTGCTTTTCTAATTAAATATTAAGTTGGGATTTATGAGTGTATATGGGGGAATGCTCATTCTTTAGCTGTACTAGGCAATAATTTCATTTTTTTTCAGGCCCTTACCCCACCGTTAAGATGTTTTGACTATTTATCTTCTGATAATATCATTGTTATTTTCAAGGTAATTGATCCTAATAATGCTATGTGGAAAAAAAAACAAAATTGCCATTGAGTCAATTCCAATTCACAGTGACCCTTTAGGACAGAGATAGTGACCCTATAAGATAGAGTAGAACTGCCCCATAGGCTTTCCAAGAAGCAGCTGGTGTATTCAAACTGCCAATCTTTTGGTTAGCAGCCGAATGCTTAACCACTGCACCACCAAGGCTCCACTCTTAGAATGGTTTGACTGTTTATCTTCTGATAATATCCTTGTTTTTAAGGCATTGATCCTAATAATGCTATGTGCTAGAAATAGATGGGAGAGGAAGCTTGAAGGGTTCTTGTGAGCTTAATAATGCTCTTACCAAGAAGAGGTACTTTCTCTTTATTATTCACTTATGCTGGATGTATCACCATCAGAATCTCCTTGGGACAGGAATTTTAGCAGACATATAGTACATGCCAAGGAAGGAGGACATGTAAGGGCACCATAGCCAACTGTCTACTTGGGTCTATCAAATTGCCCATTTTTTTTTCTTAACTGGATGGTCAAAATAGAAAATCCAAGTTCCCTGATGAGTTTATCATCAACTGATAATGGCTAGATTAATTGGACACTGGTAGACATAGGCCCAGGGTTTGTGTGTGTGTGTGTGTGTGTGTGTGCACGCGCGCATGCATGCATGTGCACACATTTCTGGACATACTTTTTGTTTAAGAATCAGTAAGCACTTACTTTCTGTGAGATATGACCAGCTCAATCCTAGTGTGGTCATCAGGTATTGCCTTTCCATTCTCTCCAGATTTCACAGTATTATAGTTCTAGATTTTATCCAGGGAATCAGTTCATACCTAATCTCATTCCTGATACTCTAAGTAGCTCAGATCAGAACAATTTAGAAAAGGCTTGAAAAACCCAAATTCTGATGAAAAGGAAAGCATTTCCTCATTATTATTTCTGTTCAAAAATTAAATGTGCCAATATTGCATTGCATTACATTACTGTAAATTACATTACTTTGATTGGGCTTCATCTTGAATTATTGATTTGCCTAGGTCCCTGCTAGCTGGGATTCATTTATTTGTAGTGGAAGTAAGTTAGCTTCAATTGAACTTGCCGTCTGGTTCATCTGGTAAACATATCCATGACCACACTTGATGGCTTTCTTTCTAGAGACATAAATATTAGCCACTGCATCCTAGCTACGTCCACATTCAGGCATCTTTTTGAGGAGAGTGAAATGAAAGCAAACTGGGGTTGTAGAGAATAGATTCACATTCTGGACCAGAACCTATTTCCTGTACCATCAAATGTCCACCATCAGGGAGAAGAAGCATATGAATGCAGTCTCACTGCTTTATGAATTTACCAGTGTGTGCTTCTGCACATTTGTCCCTAGAGAAAGCCTCCTGTTCCGTGTCCACCTGGCCTGATGTGGGAGTCTTGATTATGCTAGTTTCCTTAAGAAGGAAGAGGATGAGATTTTAAGGCCTAGACCTGCACTGCTTTCCTCAGAATACTTGTATTCATCTTAGCTCTCACTTTCTATGTGGAAAAGGCAGTATCTTTGCTCTCTTGGTTTTACAGAAAGCAACACTTCCTAAATTATTAGTTGAGAAACAAAATTTAATTGGATCTATTTAGATATTCCCCACAAAGATAATTGCCATGTGGGTGGCTAGCCCCATGTGGTATTTAAGCTGCAGGTGGGAATCTTCCTCAATATTTTTTTTTTTTTGGTTAATGGCCATGCCACTCAGAACTACCAGATGAATTCTTAAGGCCAAATTGAGTATCTTTTCTAACAAATGGTGTGAGCAGACCTTTCCTATTGATACTTTTCCCAGTGTACTTTTCTTGATGCTTTTCTATAAATATGAAGAGGGGAATTGAAAGGCCAGAAAAATCTGATGGCAAAGAAACTAGTGGACTTAATGTTTTGGACATGGTGGAAGTGACTTAGGGACTTTCCTACCCAGGCAAAGATTTATTTTACAGATCCTACTTCAGTATGTGCTGTGTACACACTGACTTCATTCTGCAACCTTCATTCTGACTGATAAACAAACCACAGTTTAGGTCATCTGTTAACACTCAGAAGAAATGAAGAGGGTTTAAATGAGTGAAGAGCTATTGAATTGTTCCTATTGTTTGTAAACAACCACATTCCTCATGGGAGTTTCTTCTTTTTTTCCTCTGCCCGACTCCTAGTCTGTGTTAACGTTTATGAAACTTATGATGCTTACTAGCTTAGATTTCAGTGACAACTCTAACCAAAGAATTGTTGTTGGCTGCTGTCGAGTTGGGCCT